TCCCCACCTTACTCACCCTCGCCTCCCTCGCCCCACATCTTTTTCCTCACCCCACATCCCTTTCCTCAGCTATCTACCATTCCTCTTGTCTCACTCACCCTGCAGCTCACTCCCATCTGACTTTGCCCCTATCGTGCCACTAAGACAACTCTGTGTGGAGGCCACCAGTGACCTCCCTGCCACTAAATCAATGAGTACGTTCCAACCCTTGTCTTGACCCCTTGTGGACCTGTCCCTTAGAAACGCTCTCCCCTTACCCCCCCCCCCACATCAGCTGGCTATCTCCCTCTCTGATTGTTCCTCCTCTTCCTTTGGTAGTGACTCTCCTCTACCCAACTTTTAAGTGTCGTCATTCTACATTGCTCCATTTAAACTCCTCTTCTGAATCTACATTTACTGAGTGATTCTGTCCATGTCCACAGCTGTTCACAGCTCCACCACCATGTATACATACGGAGTTATAACTGTTTACCTTCAGTCCTGATACCAACTGCCTACATCACATCCATGGAACTAAAGCAAATGTATCAACCACTGTACATTTAATACCAAATTATCTCTGTGGCATTGTGGTCAATGCACATATTTAGAAGTCATCCTCCCTGTCTTCAAAGGTTTGGTCTGCAAATGCAGAGCTAAGCCTTGTACAGGGCAAGGCCATGGATTTGGGAGTCCTGCAGAGTCACATCACTGCCCTCCCACCAGGGTGAGGGGACCCAGGGTAAAAGACTCCCCTCTGTCAGCATCAACTGACAGTAGGGCGAGGCTGGAAGGAACTCAAGCAAGTGAGAACATGTAGTGGTGAGGCCCCAGCCAACTCCTCTGCTACAGTGGTCATGTCTGTTAAGTAGCTGGGAAACACTAGGGTACACAGGGAACATGGGAGTGCCAAGAGAATTCCAAAGAAGGGGCCCTGGGTGGGGCAGGGGAGATGGTAGAGGCGGTGGGCCCAGAGTGGAGGTGAGTTCAAGTTGTGATTAAAACACACTTGAATAAAGAAGCAGTGTGCTGAGATAGAAACAGGAAAGGATGTGTAGTCAGAAAATAGGAATGAGTTGGCCCTGCCTCCAAAAAGCTGTAATTTCAGATGTGTTCATTTTTAAATACAGGTTTTTTTCATCGGTAACTTGTGGGTAATGATGTCTGTCCTGATTTCCTTTTGCAGTTGTTGTCAGGAGATGTGAATGTGCTTGTTGGCAGTAAATGTGTCTACATTCTAGTCGTTCACTGTTGAATTGTACACCAGAGAGCACTATGGGTGTGGCCTCAGGGCAGAAACACCCAAGGCCAGATCCACCCACGAGTCACTTCAGCTCAGAGCATTCGTTTCCTTATCTTTAACCTGAAAACAGCACTGGTCGCTTCCCACAGTATTGAAGGATGAAATAAGTTATAGTTCATTGGGGAGGCTCCCTTGCTGTGGAGTGGGAACACAGCGGGATCCAGCCATGTGACAAGACTCTGAACTCAGCACATATGTCAGTAGCACATGAATGACATGGCACATTTTTCTTTCAGATCCCATGTTAGATCTGGACATCCAGGAACTGGCCAGTCTCACTACTGGGGGAGGTGATTTGGAGAATTTTGAACGACTGTTTTCAAAGCTAAAGGAAATGAAAGGTAACAGCTCCCATGTCCAATGTGCTCCCACACTGCTGCTCATGTGTCTTGGGTGCAATGTCTCATGCTGTGAGTGATGGGTTGGCCTCCAGGTTCTGGTCTTAGCTGTCTTGGGAAATTTAACTCCTTGGGAGCTGTATCCTCCTACACAATTCCCTGCGGAAACTCTCTCTCTCTTCATTCCTTTCCCTTCTCCTCCTTCTCTTGCGTGTCTTTCAATGTGTCTCATAAGATGGAATCCATAACGTCCCTACCATGTCCTCATGTTATCCCATCTGGAATCTGGGAAGACTCACATTTCCTCATAGCTGTAATGACGCCACCATAAACATGTCTCTGAAATCCACCTCCCATCTTGTAGCACTGGAACTTCCTTGCACTCACATTCTCCTATGCTGTTAGACAAATTTCCTAAGATATGTTTTCCCCCTAGACAAGGCTGCGACACTTCCTCATGAGCAAAGAAAGTTGCATGCAGAAAAGGTGAGACGATCAATTGGGTGTTTATTGAGAACCTGTGAAGGGTCCAGGTTCTTATCTGTTGCTTATTGTCCTTATCTGTTGCTGTTGTCCTTATCTGTTGCTCTTGGGTACTTCTGAAGGGTCTTGTGTGAGCTTTTCATTGGATATGAACTTAGAAGGAGTTAAATATTTATACCATAATAATATGGTTGCTGCAGTCAAGCCAAGGTTTTTCAACTACATGTTGAACGACATAGAAAACTCCTGGAGACATGGGATGTTGGGCCAGAGCACTCTTAGTTGTTTGTTGTTGCCATTGTAACACGTGCTCTTGGCAGGGAACCATGGGTGATGGTATCGCATTATATGAAGGTGTCACAATTTGTATATACACTTCCCTGTTGAACATTTAGACCATTTGCATTTTTGTTTCTATAAATGAAGCTGTGCATACCCTGACACATCACCTTGCATCCAACTCTGGTTACACCCTCAGTGTACATTTCCAGATGTGGAAGTCATGTGGGGTTCAAGGGCTTTGATGAATGTTGCTGGGGGGCAGATATAGAATTCTAGGTCTCATTCACTTCAAAGTGTGACACATGAAATCAGCTGAAATGCAGCTATTGCCTAATATTTGTTACATGCTTCCCTTGACAGGTGGCCAAAGCCTTCTGGATGGCAATTGGGGGAGACAGAGATGAAATTGAAGGCCTTTCATCTGATGAAGAACACTGACAGAGACCCATCTTTGAGACACTCCCCTGCTCTACCCAGTCATGTGTTGCTGAAATCTCATTATCGTGTTGGCTGCCTGACTTGATAGAGGGTCCCGTAATATTTATTTTTAGTGAGGACTAAAGAGAACTCTTTTCTCCCTCAGTGTATTGTAAGAGAGTGAGGAATACAATGACAATGATGAGTGAGAATTTCTTAAATATACTTTTGTTGTTCTAGGAACGGGGGTAGAATGAGTCTCAGAGGTCTGTGTGTTTTATCCAAGTTGGGAAAGAAAACCACCAAGCCATTCCTGGCAGCCTTTGAAGTAGCATTCCTGTACTGCATACCAGGGCGTTCCTGGATGTTTTGGGTTTCCTCCGCTCAAGGGTATGTGACTCTGAGCCATGACGCTTTTCCGGGAGGAAAGGAGACTGCTGTGGATTGGAGTTGCTATGGCACAGGTGGAGCCCAAGGCAGCGGCCACAAAGTCAGTGGCCCACGGCTGAGTCTGTAGCCACAAAGATGTAGTGTCTGAGCTCCCACTAGGAAGAACGGAAATACTAGTGTGAATTTTTAGACCATCATCACTGAGGCAAAGTTTTCCTACTCTGGTGGGGATTGACCCCCTACTGAGTTAGGGGTGTGTGTAGAGAACAGAAAGAATTCCCCACAGAATCCCCGTCAGAGCCACGGAAGCTGTGAGTGATGTCACGCTGAGGCCCTGGCACTGGCGTGGTCATGAAGGACTCCTCTGCTGCAGGTTCTCCTGCTGCGTGAGCACCAGAGCCCAGCTGTCACTTCACACCCTTGGGTCTAGGCAGGCATCCTCCTAGCAGCCCATTGGTGGGTGCAGGACGTGAGGCCATGAGTTCTTCAGCAGCTGTTTACACAGGTGCTGGCTCCTCTGTGCCGTCCAGGACCGCAGCCCCGAGGACAGGTCACCAAAGGGCAAGTTTCTAAGGAAGTGGAAAGTACAGCAAATAAAAATCCTTCTTTCTGTGTTTGTAGACGCCTTTGTCATGCGTGTCAGTATCCTGCACTGTGGCTATAAACTGGCACAGAGCACAGCATGTGGCTGGTGCTAGCACCCTGGTTAAGAACAGTTCTGGCCTCATGTGGGCTCCAGAACTGTTCACCCAGGGTGGAAGAAACAGGGCGGGTGGGGCAGAGCAAGGTTCAGACACCTCCAGTACCACCTGGGAGCCCAGAACCTGTGGCGTGCCAGGGGGAGGAGACTGCAAGTCCAGCTGGGAACCTCAGGTTCTGGGCTACCAGGTGGTACTGGAGGGATGGATGGCCAGGCACCACCAGGAGCTGTCTTGCTTGATGACCTTTCATCTGCTGTTCCCTTTTCCCTGTGATCTGAAGGTCTGTGAATCTGGCTCCTTGTCAGCCCCTCATGGTCCTTGAGGTGACAGCACTGGGGAAACTGGCTGTGGGGCTGCATAGTGAAGATGGGATATGGAAGACTGTGGAAAAGATGGCCACATGGTTAGGAGAAGCAGATGGCAGAAAGCTATGAACTTGATCTTGTGGCTAAACAGAGCCAGGGGTTAAGCTGATGTATCGATAAAGTCTGCTAATGTATCTGGTGGTGATTTTGTGGTCTGTCAGTTGGCATTGAGCAGAGGAGGTGGGTATTTTTCCCTGGGTTAAGCATATGTAATGAGTGGTCTAAGCTCATCATCTTGGAATCCACCATGCATATGTAGATACATTTAATCGTGTTTCTAAGACTTCAGCTCTCTGAAGACATCGGCCCCTTCTAGAGGACACATAGAGATCCAGGCATCTATTGGTGTCTCTTTAAGGCTGTGTTGGGAAGAGTGACCACGAGCTGGCATGCAGGAACAATGTAGTGCCGCTGTAGGTTGTGATGGACCATCCTGCTGGGCTTTCCCATAAGGATGCGACTTTCATTGCTGACAGCATCTCTGTTTGCATCAACACAGTGTTTGGCCATCACAGGCCCTTCTGGCTGTTAAGCATGGTTGGTGTTTGATGAGTGTGATCACAGTTTGAAGAGAGTGTTGGGAAGGAGGGGGAGATAAGAATCTGCTTTTTTCCCTGAGGAAAATCTTGTCTTATGTAATAATTTTAGAATGGTGAGGACATAGATATTTTTGTAACTTTAAAATATGCTGTCCTGCCGAAGTGTGGGAGGCTGACAGGAATGGCTTGCTTGCTCTCTGTTTATAGATCTGGGGACTGTGGGGGTCCAGGGAGGCCTCTCACACCTGAGTGAGGTGGGACATCGTGCAGGGACCACAGTGACGCCACGCTGTCCGCAAGCTCCTTGTAACATGGGAAGCATGAGGTGTGACCAGCTTCGTGGTCCCTCTGTTGAGAAGAGGAGAAACACTGTGACTTGGCTCGTGGGAGCCCTCCCCCTGGGGCTGCTCGCTTAACAGTAGCCAATGAGAAGCGCAGTACCCTTGCCTTGCCCTGGCATAGAAAAACAGTCTAAGAAGAGTCACTGTCTACGGGTAAGATGATCTCTGGGAACAATTCTGAGTTTGAGCATTTGCTGATGCAAAACTGAGCTGGGCACACACATGTCCAGTGTGGGCAGTTCTGACTCACAACGTTCTGATTGATGGAGACGGCCTCAGTGATGCTCTAATGAGTTAGGTTTGTTCTCAATCCCGCCTCCCAATTTTACTAGGCAATGAACTACAACATTGTCTCGCAAAACCCCAGATTTTCTTCGAGACTTAGGAGAAGTGTGGAATCTGGTCAAGTGCACTAGACCAGTGTCATGGTAGTACAAGGTGAGCTTGAAAGTAACGCCCTGTGAGCTTCCGTGATCTGTGTCTTACACTGGTGGAGTGGTGACTGTGCAGGGCACCATCCTGGTTCTTTCAGCCCCACTTGGATGTGGTTTGGGGATCTGTCCTCATGCTTTTGGCCTGTGAGCTCTTGCAGAGTCTCGTACTTTGGCAGGGCCTTGCCTGTTACTAACACCACAAGTCTCACTTTGGATGTGGTCTCTTTTTTCAGAGTTCATTTCTTTCAGTATAACCAGTGTCTGCTCGATTCTGAGTTGTCCTTCTGACTTGCAGAATGGAGAATTAACTAAATTAATTTGAGGTAACAGCAGTAGTGAGTCCAGCTCTCAGGGGTTTACAGTTCTGCTTTGTTTCCTTTTGGACAAGTCTTGATTCAAAACCTGGCACTAAGGGTTATCACTGCACAGGCTTGGGGGGAAGTGAAAAGACAGTTTTTCTTCTGAAACCCTTTTCAGTGTATCTGTTGATTGACCCAGATACTCCCCACAACTACACATCTGGGAGGCACAAACAGTCACACAAGCAGTTTGTGCCCGGTGGCTCACTGGGATGCCTCCCTGGTGCTTTCCTTTGAAGGAAGCGGCTGGCCATTCCCTCTGCCCCCACTGGTATCAACCAGGTGACTTTAATGCAATAAAAACAGCTGAGGAAGGCCTGGGTGGGCCCTTATGGAAGCAGCAGCACAGTTTAGGAGAGAGAAACTTCTTCTCAGCTGAAGTCCAGGGACATGACCTGGCACCTGTCATGCCTCTCAGGGCATACTCAGGAAGTCACCAGTGGTGAGTTGAGACGGCCTTGAGCATGCAAGGATTCAGGTCCAGCCAGGGCTGACCGGGCACTTGTTGGTGCCAACCTGAGTGAGGTATGGCGGGGGATACCAACTAGAGTTGGTTTCTGTCTTCCAGGAGCTGAGTCCTGCTTGGGCTGGAGCAGGGACCCAGCAAGACGAGGTTGCAAACGACAGTGCCGCTTAGTAGCCATAGCTACTGGGGGAAGAGCAAAGTGGATGGAAGGGCATCACGGCTCTTGGGGCCAGGGTTCCCCAGCGAGCCCACATTGAGACTGCCTGGAGGCCCTGGCCCTAGTTTCTGATTCCGCAGGACCAGGAGGGACTGAGGAGGTGTGTTTCTGACATCTCAGGAGATCCTGGTGCTGCAGATCCTGGGGCCACACTTTGGGCACCACTGAGTCAGAGGAAGTAGTGCTTGGACTGAGACCTAAGGAAAAAGGGCCTGGACAGACAGGTGAGTGCCGGCAGCAGAGCGCCCAGTGAAGTGGCAGTATGAATGGGCGTGGGGCGGGCAAGGGGTATGTGGGAGGCCCAGGTGTGCCTGGGAGGAAAGCTGGTGAGGATGAGTGGCACAGAGAGTACCTCAAAGGCCTGCCATGCAGAGGCTGCAGCCACGCTGGAGGCATCTAACCAGTTATATTCCAGGGAAGCATGGCAGGAATTCAGTAGCATCTGCCTAGCCAGCAAGCTGTGTTGAGAAGGATTCTGAGGACGAGAAGGGAGCCGCACTGTTGCACTGTGTTGAGTGGTTTCTGCCACAGATGAAGAAGCAGAGCAGATGGGGTTTGCCCTAATCCTCTCTCCAGGACTGGGACCAGGGACGTTTTAGAGTCACTGTGGTGAGGCTGTGAGGACTTGTCTCTTGGAGGTGAACTTCCTGTAGGGTGGCTGGGTGGGTAGGGACACAGAGATGCTGCCGAGGCAGAGTGACTTGATATGGGCATGAACTGAGTCATGTATTCAACAAAAACATGTGGCCAGAGCAACCCAGGAGGCCTCAGTTTTGAGCAGATGGGCACATCACCTGGGAGGGGTGACTGTGCTTAGAGATGTTCAGGAAAGCTTCTTGGAGGGGACATCTGAAAGGAGTCACAAAGCGCTCGGGAGAGTGAACTCACAAGGCAAACTTGTGCCGCATGTCCGGAGGACTGGCAGCAGGGCATGGACTGGGGAAGAGGGACTGGCATCCCAAGGGAAGGGTGTAGGCTCCCATGGAGACAAGAAGGAGCCATGAGGAACGGGGGCCACTGGGTAAGAGCTGGAGTGGTGAGAGCTGGGGGCAGGGCCAAGCACGTGGGGTTCCAGGACAGATACCAGAGCGGCCACCTGAGGCCAAGTAGGTCACCGGTCATGTGGATGGTGCATTCGTAGGAACAACCTGGGGGCTGGAGAACCTTAGGACACTGGTGCAGATGTCTGGATGCTGGAGGACCCAGCAGTGGGGGAGGGGCTTCAGCACAGGGATTGGGGGAGCAGACCTCCTGGGAGGAAGGGGTGGGTAGCCACGGTGACATGATGACATCCATGGATGCAGGTCGGGTAATAGTCATACCAAAAACGGGCCAACGGCCAGAGGAGAGGGAGCCAGTTTGATAAGGGAAACAGTGGGTGGTGTTTGGCTAGTGGGTTGAGGTACTGGCGGCCCCGCCACCTGCCAGTAGCTAGCAGGTGGTAGGTGTGCATTTGAAGCTGGGGCCTGGTGTCTGGGCTGTACGCATTCATTGGGGGTCGTCAGCCTCTACATGACTTGAAACCACATGACAAATGAGATCACTCAGGGAGGAGTGTCGTGAGGGACCAGCGAGGAGGCAGGCAGAGGGTGAGAATGGGCCTGAGAAGAATAGAGTGTGAGGGCCAGAGAGCCAAGAGATGCAGCATTCAGGGCACCGGCTCTTCCAGGAGGGGCAGCTGGCAGAACAGGAGCAGGCAGGCACAGGCAGCTTAGGAAATGCCAGGGGGAGGCCCTGGGACAGGCCAGGAGGCAGGGAAGGGTGCTTAGGGTGTCACATCTTAGGTCGTGTCCACAGACAGGTGGTTGGAATTCAGTGGAGCTCAAGGAACAGGTCGGTGAGAGGTACCCATCTGAGGGTCAGCTGCGAGGAGATCACAGAAAACTGTGAGCAGGGCTGGCCCAAAGGTTCCAGGAGGCAGAGGCAGTGCAGTCCATGAGGCCACATCTCCATGCCCTGCCAGGTTCTCGCCTCCTGCCAAGGGTGGGACCTGCATACCACCCTGGGCCTCAGAAGGAAGCTACCACACAGGGACCCGCTCCGTCTTCCTCCCCCAGACTTTGCTCACTCAGACTCTTAGGAACCAAGTGGCCCTTCCCATTTCCATCTTGCTTCTTACCCCATGTCTTCTAGGGTCAACGTAAGACTAAGACCCGGCCAAGGAAACGACTCTCATGTCCCTTTCTCCTTGGCATTCAGAATTCCAAATGAATGTTCACAGGTGCCGTAGTCATCTGACTGGAAGGTGCTTGTGAAAGTAAAGTGATCCCCATGCCTGTGGGAAGACAAATCTGGTGGTGTTTAGGACACGGTGACAGGCTAGGTGAGGACTAGCAGAAGTAGGAGGCAGCCCTCAGTTATCTGCCTAAGGCTTTGGTCCCGGGGACGTTGCTGCAAAGTGACCCTGCAGGGACAGGTGTGGCATTGGATGTGGGTGGAGAATGTGCCTGCCAAGAGGCTCAGGCGCCTTGTGCAGAGGGCCCAGGGGCTCCTGCCACCTCACCTGGCCCCTGGTGAGTGATGGCATCTGGGAATGACACCAGGGTCATGGTGGACTGACTGGGCATGGCGCTGGTCACAGTACACCTGGGCTTGCAGACGGTTCCCTCTAGCCTCCTGAACCCCAAGTCCCTGGGACTCCTCTGGGTTTCCTTTTAAATCTTCTCTCCTCCTCAGCAAGAATCGGACTGGGCTCCTGGCACAGTAGCTTTTCCATGAAAAGTTTATTAGAAGGGAACTTGCATGTGGGGGAGGGGACATAGTCTTTAACAATAGGGTCGATGCGTACACAAGCAGGTGCTCTGCTTCCAAGATACAAAAGTTAGAAAAATCTAAAACACTGTAAATACATACATGCTTTGTACAAAAGGACTGAAAAAGGCCGGGCCTGCTGAAGAGCGGAAGTCGGTGCGTCCTGCGGGACCCATACCCCATGCCCACACAGGAGTCCAGAAGAGCGGGTTGTGGCAGCAGCAGTACAGGCGCAAGGCTTCCTGGGTAAGATGCCCCTGCCTCCCTGGAATGTGTTCCCCCTGGGAAGGGAGAGGGCTTCATTCCGAGGACCCCTGTGGAAGGGCCTGGGTTGGACTCGGAGTTGTTGCCTTTACGTGCTGCACATGTCTGGCCACCTGGCTTGGCGTTTCTGGATGCTGAGCCAGAAAGCCACTGCCCCTCCACCAACATCCAGAACTGGCCGTGCCCAGCACTTCTAGCTGCTGTCCTGGGGAGACCTTTCCAGCTTTCTTAAAAAATTAAATAGTTATCTGTTGGCATGGTCTTAAGAAATTATTACATAAATATAAAAACACCAGAATGCTACAGTATATGTTACTTCTGCATTAAAAGAATCCATTACGGAATCACAGAAGTTCCCAATCCAGTTACATGGGAGGCGAGTTTCTTTTTTTTTTTCCTTTTTTTTTTTTTTTGGGTTGGAGTCTCACTCTGTCGCCCAGACTGGAGTGCAGTGGCCGCTCCTAGCCACCGCAGCCTCGACCTGCTGGGCTCCAGCGACCCTTCCGCCTCAGCCTTCCAAGTAGCTGGAACTACAGGCGCACGCTACCACGCCCGGCTGGTTTTTTGATTTCTTGTAGAGATGAGGTCTCGCTGCCGAGGCAGGTCTCGAACCCGTGGGCTCAGGCAATCCACTCACCTCAGCCTCCCAAAGGCGCGGGATTACAGGCTGAGCCACCGAGCCCGGCTGCGAGTTTCTTTAATGTGACGGACACCTCCCCCAGAGATGCTCCAGGGTTGATCCCTGCCTTCTCGCATGCATCTTTCTGCCTTCCCTTCCCACTTGGAAAGGGGCTGGAGCTCCCTGCAAGGGTGATATGAGTAGTGAGGACTGTTCCTTGAAGCGTCCAACAAGGGAACCACCGGCACCACACAAAGTGGCACCACTCGGCTTTGTTAAGTCGAGGTTTTCCCATGGTGAGATGGGAAAACTCCCAACTCCAGCCAAGTCACATAGCCAGAAACAGGGTTCACAGTGAAAGTCATGCCCCCTTGCTGCTGGAACCCCCTCAGTGGACAGCCCCCCCAAGCACCCTGCAGAGCCTGTTCCTGACTGTGGGAGGTCTTGGGAGAGTGATCGCACATGAGCTCTGGCCGTGGAGACTATGTGGAGCCTCAGAAAGGGCAGCTTGGAGCTGAGGAGGAAGTCAGACTTGCCCTCCTCAGGCTGCTCACATACATGCAGGACATGCACACCACTGAAGCCCTTCTGTGGTTTGAGTAAAAAGCATTTGGCCTGGAATATGTCCAAACTAGGAAGCCAAGGAGAGTGGAGAAAAACAACACACTGAGCAGTGATACGTGCCCAGCTCATCTCAATATGTTAACAGTGCTTTAAAAAATCACCACGATTGATAACAATATATGACACCGACAGCAAGGACAGTGGAGAAGCCTGCCCGCACGTGCTCCTCCTGAGATGGGCTCATGCCAGGATGGTGACCCAGGAGATGATGACCCAGGAGATGATGACCTGGCACAGGCCAGAATCCGAGCTAGCAGGAAGGATCCAAGTCCCCAAGTACAGCTGGGAGTTGGGGGTAGGGAGAGAACCCACGCTGACTCTTCTAGAGGGCTGGGGACAGGCATGCCCCAGTGCTGGCTGCACACAGTCAGCACAAGCCACGGGCAACAACATCCTGGCAAGAGCCTGGCAAGAACCTGCCTAGACAGCCTGCCCTGAAGACAACTGATGGCCCCCGCATCCCTGAAGATGACCCAATGGTCTCCTGCATCCCTGGAGCCCCAGTTGCCTCCCACCCCTTTCAGCTGTCCTTGAAGGAGGTCTTCAGTGAACAAATGCCATTCAGACAGCAGGGTTTCAAAACTAGGGAAGCAAGTTTTGTGACTTGGATGGAAGGACACTCATGTCCCACATGCCCATAGCGCTTCCATGGTGCCCGTGATGGGACTGGCACCATCTCCCAGGCCCTCAGGTAGGACCACATTGCCCTTGGGGGATGCCATGGCAGACTTCCCAGTCTCCTCGCATGTCCTCCTTAAGTCACCAGTCTATAACAAGCGAGCTGTGGAAACAAATTCAAGCTCCGCCTCCAAGAAGCAGCCTTCAGGGCTGAGCGCCAGGGCTTCCAAGACACCATCCAGATACTATCAGGCGTGCAGCCCATCACACTTAGGCTTACAACCTGAGGAAGTAGACACTCTTCCCCTTCCCCAGGAATGAGACAGGACTTCCTTAGATCTCCGGACCCTGGGAACCCAGCTGCCCCAGAAACTGGTCCACGTGCCTAGAGGGCAGCCAGGTGCCACAGGAGCTCCTATGGGTTCACAGGTGAATGTAGGGCCCTGGAACCACTGGCTTTCGGTGGGGGGGACCACGACCACCACTGCAGAAGCCCGCACAGTCCTGGAGCCCTGGGTCTCTGCACCAGCTGGAGCTGAACGTGCACACGGGGGCAGAGGGCATCTGGGTAGGAAGCGGCCCACAGCCTTGTGCCAGCCTCATCCTTCAGACTCGCAGCATGTGGCCTCACAGAGGTGTTGTGTTGACCCGGGCCATGGCAGCAGCCCTTGGGAAGACTCAGAAGTCTAGGAGGGGTCTGGCAGGGCACTCCTTGGTCTCTGCCTGTGTCCTCTGAAGGTCTCAGTGGCTCTCCCACCTGGAAACCTCAGGTAGAGCTTCAGAGGTCCAAACTCCCTGTAAGTCCCTGCATCTTCCTACAACCTCAGAAATCCCATCACATGTGATATCTATGACCTGCCCAAAGTATATGCTTTCTTCCCTTCACCTGCAGTAAGATGGGACTTCCATAGGAAATCCCTTTGTTTTTCCTGGTAAGAATCCATGCAAAATGTGGGCTGAGTCATTTCATTCAAAAACAGCAGCAAAGAACAAAGTACCGAGGCGGTGGCCATTCCATCTGCTGCTCTCTGCTCCACACGAGGCCTGTGAAAGAAGGGGGCTCTTTCTTCTTGTTTCTGGTTGAAATAACTTACGCTAGTTTTCTCCCTAATTGCCACTGGGAGCAGGACTTATCACACAAGACCACTGCTCTGGCTGTCATGGAAGAGCCTTCATGTGAGTGAGACCATCTTATGTCCTGGGGGGATGGCAGACCTCTGCACCAAGCCTGCAGTGTTCAGAGGTACAGAAAAATCCCATGTTGGCCTGAGACTTTTCCCTTCTGGTGAGTTTGTGCCTGCACACTTCAGCATCCAAGAGTGCTAGCAGGTGTCACCTCACCCAGGAGAACGTCCCCTTGGGAGACAGGGCAGGATGCCATCCTGGGTCTCTCTCCACTTTCCCAGTCAGCATGCTAGCCCAAGGGTTTTTTTTTAAATACAAAAGAAACATTTACAGGCGCATACAATAAAGTTGATACAATTAGTGAGCCATCTGCCTCAGACTCCAGGATGCTGGAGTAAGCGCTTTCTTCACCTGGAGTGAGAGACGTGATGCCACTGTGCCTGGGCCGCCTGCCGCGCGACAGCAGACACCGTCCTTGGGTCACTCTGAGACCAGCAGATCCTAGAACCCAACACTGTGTGCTGCAGAGCCTCGAGATCCTCCTGCTTTGCCAAGTGAGAAGAACAGTCTGAGGGAACTTCCAGGAAGAGGGGGCGTCTAACCACCTCCCAGCCATCCCACATGCGTGTCCACCAAACATGCTCATGCCAGTCGGGGTTCTGAGAGGGGAGACAGGGCATTCTGTCCACCAGGTGCAGGGTCTGCCGGAGGGGGTAGGGCTTGGCTGGACACTCAGAGAAAGAGGCGTTTGTCACAGTGCCGAGAGCTGGTGTGAGGTCTACCCTGGCCCCGTGGGCTATTCCTGCCTGGAACACCCTTCCAGGCAATTGCCATGCTCCGGGCCTGGACAGAGGGTGCTTCCGGCTGGCCTGTGACATTCCAGATTGCTGTCATTAGAGAAGGAGGTGGGGAAGGGGCAGATGGTGAAACGCCACCTGCTCTGTGTGCTCGAGCCACAGAACCACAGAGCCGGGGGCTGAGGGCTCATGTCAGCAGATACAGCTGTGTGCAGCAACCCCCTCTGGACTTCAGTGTCTTGGAAGCAGGCTGGCGCCCCTTTCACTGAGGGAGAATGCTATCTTCTTCCTTGACAACAACGCTGAGTGGAGCTCAGCTCTCCCCGCCTCCCCCACACCATCTTCCATAAGCCCCCCCCCGCCCCTCCACGCCCAATGTCTCTAGGACACACTGGAACAGCGGATGCTCGGGGAGCCCATCTGGGTAAGGACCTTGTCAAGCCACTGCAGAGGCCCATTCAGGTGCAGCTCGATCCAGCAGGGGGTGCTGGTCACGGTCTGTCTCCTGCAAGAAAGAGGGACAGGGGAGGGTGGGGACTTAATGTCCAGAGGAACACACAAGCCAGAATGCCTTTCTCCTGCTTTGGCAACAGTCCTCTCCTGAAGCCAGACATGCAGCCTGCCTTGGTAGACGCTGCCCTGGTGGAAGTGCCAACAGCTTGCTGAGACCACCAGGCCACCTCCTCCACCTGGGAAGGACTCGGGCACATCGGCTCTTGGGGGAGGAAGTGGGCTTACAGAGCAGAGCAGCAAAACCCATTCCAGGTCCCCAGAGACCCCCCCAGTGGGGTTCCTGGCCTGGCCAGAGGTCTCAGGCCCCCTCTGGACCCAGCGGGCACCTGCAGCTCCCCCATTCCAAACCCTGGCCAGCCCCCGCAGGCCACGATGACGCACGTCTGTCTGACAGAGGGGTGTTTTTTACAAAGCGCCGACAGAGTCCACATGCCTGCACTCCCAGTGTGCCGATATAATTCCCATCTACGTCCTTATTTTGGAAAATCTTACAGGCAGAGCAGACCGTGGAACAATTACTGGAAAAATCCAAGGCACACCACACGTTTCTTTCCCCAGAGCACTTAGTCTAAATTCAGGCAAGGGATGACGCAGCAGGCGGGCCGCTCCCAAGCCTCCGCCAGCAGGGCTAGCTGCCGGGCCGGGACCCTGAGGCCAGTGGAGGCAAGAGGCATGGGCCGGGCCGCCCACAGGGAAGGGCTGAAACCCTATGCCCTTTGGTCAGGGAGGCAGCAGAAGGGCAAGCAGTGCTGGAAGAAGTTGCACCCACCTACCGGGCCATTGTGCCATGTTACCAGGGGCCACACAGGCCTGGGCGTGCTGGCTGGGCAGGCTGTGCAGCGACACGGTGTCCCAGGGAACCTCTTCCTGGCACCTGGAGCTGGACAGTTCCTGGCTGCGGCAGGCCTAGGTCTACTGCCCTGAGGGCACTGCCCTCCTTGCCTGTTCTATGTTTGCCCGAGGAGGGGGGGGTTCAGAAATGGGACCCAAGCCAGGCGCAGTGGCTCACACCTATAAACCCAGCACTTTAGGAGACAGAGCCAAGAGGATTGCCTGAGCACAGAAGTTCAAGACCAGCCTGGGCAACATGGCGAGACCTCATCTCCACAATAAATCAAAAAATTAGCTGGGTGTGGTGGCGCGCACCAATAATCCCAGTTACTTGGAAGACTGAGGCAAAAGGATTATCTGAGCCCAGTGGGCCGAAGCTGTGGTGGCCATGAGCGTGCCACTACACTCTAGCCTGGGTGACAGAGTGAGAGTCTGACTCAAAAAAGAAAAAAGAAATGGGCCCCTGCCTCGGCCGTGGGATCTACCTGACCAAGGGTCCCTGTGCGTGGCCCCTACAAATATAAGAGGAGCAAATGGATTTCCCTGCCTCTCCTCTGTTGGGGTATGTCTGGAAATATTTCCCTTCCCCTTAGGACACAGGAATTGTCCAGCTTCTCACTCTCGTTTCCTGAGTGACCCGTGCCAAGCCCTGGCCTGGGCTCATCTCAGGCCGTCATAACAGGCGGGGAAGTTCTCTTGAGGTCTGACCACTTTGATTGCTCAACTGATCAGCCCCGAATCTCAGAGAAACCCCAGAGACCAAGGTGCTATGCTCCCGGACTCCACAGGGAAGACATGGAAGCACAGTAGCTGAGTATGGGGTGCAGAGAGGGGTTTTGCAGGATGAGATCCCCTTGTGAGAACCTGACTTTCCATACAGCATGCCCATCTGGGTCTCATTACCAGCGGCAGTCAGGGCCAGCACTGAAATGAATTTGGCCTGGGTGTAGCATAGCTGCAAAACAGAATGGATTCCAAACATCTGGAAAGATGGAGAGAGGGAGAAGATGTGTGGTACCTCTGCATCCGCCGTGGGGGCAGGGTGAGGCATGCGGCGTGCCCCCTGCAGACTCCCTTCTGCGTGCAGAGAGAGGAGGGACTGCACTCTAAATCCAAACCAGAGCAGCCCCGGAGACCAGAAACGGCTCTCTCCTGTCTCCTGAGCAAGAAAATGTTGCTTCTTCCTAGCGACCCATATCTCCTCCTCCCCACCCCGAACCCCAGCTGTGATATTCTAGGTCTTCAGAGCCACCAGGGTCCCTGAGTCAGAGATGGAGCCCCAGAGGAGAGGACGCTGCTTCCTGGAGGTCCTTCTAAAGTCATCTGCCTGAAGGACCAGGTGGCGGCTGAGGGTGCAGATCCAGCCAGCCTCTCCACTAGCAGAGACTCTGGTCCAGTCACTGTCCTCTGGAGGCTTCAGGACCCTCCTCTGTGCAAGGGGATGGTGCCAGCATCCTCACCAGGGCCAGGTGGGTGAGAAGGTTTGTGTGTGTCCAGCGCCCTGGCGCTGCTGGTGAACCCAGTGCTCTCCCTCCCACCACCCGCCACCCCTGGGTTTGGGTCTTTGCTCTTGGACGTGAGGCTGTCCTGCTCATCTCAGAGCAGGCCTGCCCACCCTGTCATCCTGAGCCCTGGGACTGACCTGTACTCGGCACCCCAGCCCTTCACGAAGCTCATGCGAATGGTGCACATCCGAGTCAGCTGGTACACAGCCTCAAAGCCCTGGTTGACGGACTGAGCCAGGAGCGCAGCGAACTCCTGGTTGTTGAAGATCTTCAGATTGCACCCTGCAATAGCACACATGGGCTCGTGGGTACCCAGCTGGTCACAGGCTCAGGCAGCACGTGGGTGTGCGGTGCCCAGGGCCACACCTCATGGGAGGAGGCAGCTGACAGGCCTCGGGGGGGGTGGGTCAAAGGCACCAACTCTCAGCGCCCTGGGAGGTCTGCCCCATGGGCTTTGAGAACAGGGAGCTGCGTGAAAGAGGCCTCACCCTGGGCAAAGGGGCCAGGGATGCAGTGACAAGAAACCCGGACCAGGGCGCCTGTGCTGTGTGGGGTCTGGCCGTCCATGTTGGGAGTGCCGACAGGAGGCCAGGAGGCTCTGCAGAGGCCGGGGCCCCCTTCTTCCCAGGCCCCCTCCACCTGGGCCCCTTTTATCCACATCCCCTCCCCAGGACCCCCTATTATCTGAGTCCCCTCCCCTTGTTCCCCCTTTTACCCAGGTCCCCCTCGCTCAGGCCCCCTCCACCTGGCTCCTCTGGGGGGATGAGGGATTGGGCCACCTTTTGGCCTGTGGGCACAAGGCTGAGTGACATTTGTGGCAAAATGAAGGTGTCCGTCTAATTCTCCAGACAGTAAAACTAAAGACAGGCCCACATAAAGTTTAAAATAAACCTCTTGTTTGAAGTCTTCCTGCCTGAGTGCCAGAAATGTGTCAACCAGACAAACGAAGACAGAAGCACATGCCAGAAGCAGCCGGAAGGGGAGCTGAGGTGATGCTTATGAGTGGGCCAGCCCCGGACTCACTCGCACCCTGTGACTATGAGCCCATTTCTTTCCCTTTGTGATCCTGTGTCCTGTCTGAAAAGGAGGCCCTGGCCCTGGGGTCCTCCTGGCTGGAACGTTCTAGGACAAATGCCACCAGAGCCAGGCCAGCCTCACCAGAATGGTGAGAATGGAGTGGGCCGTGTGCCAAGAACACGCCAACCTGCCTCTGACCCTGTCCCCAAGGAGAGCTAGGTAGAGCAGGACCAAGAACCTGGGAGCACGGCCTCGGCCGCCTTGGCTCCATCCTGGCATGGCCACTGCCTCACTGTTTGCCCTTGGGCAGGCGCATCCACTCTCAGGATGTGTCCCTGAGACATGTCCCCTGACTTATGGCACCAGAATCGCCGAGGAGAGTGAGATGGGGTCACAGATGTCAGTGCACTCTGTCCACACGGGAACATGGCGCCTGGGTCATTTCAGACTCTGTGTCTTGAAGTTGACCACCCGTAGCCCGCTTTCAGTTGACAGGGCAGGACACGCCACACATGGGCCCATGCACTGGCCTCCTGGCCACATGTGTCACCAGCCAGTCACAGACCATGTTCTGTGGGCTGCCCGCTCAGTGGTTATAGGCCATGTGACAGTGGACTTTGGCTGGAGATTTCTTCCTTGGCCTCAGATGGCATTGGCCGCCTGCCTGCCCTTCTATCAAGATGTAGCCCTGCCCAGATTACCCGCTGGAGTGCCACTGGACTCCTTAGGGGTTCGGGTGAGATCTGTCAGCCTTGCTCAGAGCCCTCAACAGTTCCCCAGAATAAACCTGGGACATCCTCATGTCCTTCCAGGGCCTTGAGCCATCAGGCCTCTAAAATGCTTCCCCTGACATCTCATGTGCAGGCATATCCCAACCAGAGGACTGCCCAGGTATGCCCCATCCTCCAGCACCACAGGGCCTTTGCCCAGGGGCTCACCTCTGTCTGGAACACTCTCACAGGCACACCCTGCCACCCCCCTGTCCTCAGGGCCTGACACTTCTTCCTCCAGAAGGACATCCCTGATCTGCCCTCCCATATGCTTCCTCCCTGTCCGTGTTGCTCACTGCTCTCTATACTGAACTCCATGTCACCTCACATACCTCATGGGCCTGTGAGGTCTGTGGGGACAGCTGGGCCCCAATCCCTCTCCATCCCCTGTGGCACCTGGCGACAGGGCCATGGCTATCTATGCAATGAATTAGAAGGAGGAAGCCACACCATGCATCCACGCACACAGGGCAGCAAGCAGGAGTCCCAGATTCAGGCAGGTCTGCTAGAGGCCACATCTGCCTCCTGGAAGCTGGGGAAACCCAGCGGGACAGCTGGGCACAGAGAAACCATCAAACCCACCAGATGGACAACACAACCCCAGGAGGGAGGAAGCAGGAAAGAGGGATCCTCCAGCTCAGGGCACACGTTCAGAGGGGATGGGTGGGGCTCACCTGGTGGGATCTTGCAGACAGTGGCTGGGTGCCAGCCGTAGCGCTGATTGCAGTTGGGGGACTGAACGAAGATGGCGCTGTCACTGAGGCACTCAGCGAAGACCTCTCCTCCAATGTAGTAGAGCCGCACACCACGCCCTGGGGAGACTTGAGTCAGACGGAGTCGGAGGAGGTCGGTAGAGGCGGGGCTGTGGCAGTTGTGCCTGTGCCACTTCCCCAGGTGGACCACACCAGAGCCCACACCAGAGCCCACAGGGGATCACAGGCAACCTTGGATTCCCACGACCAAGGAGGCAGAGCAAGGAGCCCGGTAAGGCCTCCCACTACCCACAGGCCTCTGTCTGGCTACTGGACTTCTGAATTTCAGCTCTTCCATCTCTAAAATGGGATGATCACTAATCCCCCCTTGTGTCACTGCAAGACACTGTTGGAGCTTGACCGTGTCAGCTGTTCCTGCAGCTGCTGTGACACCACCACAATTCAGTCCCTTCTCCCTCCAAGACTATGAACCTTCTTCTGCACCAGCTCCACCAAGCAGCTGACAGCTGCAGCCCTTCCTCATGGGTTGGCTCAGTGCACCCAAACCTGCTTCCTCCCTCAGCGGACCTTTCTAAGACATCCTGGGCTTATATCACTCACTCTTCTTCACCTCTCAAGTTCACTCCAGATGGACAGAAATTACATTTAAATCGGCTCTGCAGTTCAAGTGGGAATGCTGATCACACCCCTGCCCCCAGCCCAGGACACACTCTGGCCTGTGGGAAGGTCTGCTCATACAGGGCCAGCATCGGGTGGGATGAGAACAAGGCCACCAGCCACACACCTAATGCCCCCTGTCTTGCCTCTGTCCCCAACCACCCCCCAGTTCTTGCTTTAGTCCCACAGGACTTGGTGTCACTCAGACATGCAGGGTGCTGGGTGCTGAGTCAGGAGGGGTGGCTATGTCATGATGGTCAAGATCAGGAGGCAGGAGCAAAGGGGAGACCCAGACCAAAATCTTTGTTTCGTTTCAATGATTTTTTAAAAAGTACTCATAAAACATAGAAACAGCCAGGCAGCATGCCTCTAATCCCAGCAACTCAAGAGGCTGAAGCAGGAGGATCACTTGAAGCCAGGAGTTCAAGAACAGCCTGGACAACATAGCGAGACCCCCCCCAACTACAAAAATAAATAGATTTAAAACGATAAGTAAAATCTGTGTGTGGACCTTTCTTAAAGTTTAAGAGCCAGGAAGGACAGGACTAGCAATGGAGGCTGTGTCAGGATGTGGCCTCTGCAAAAGACGCTCCTGCCCTGGTGTCAGTGTCAGGGCCTTCCCTGAAGAGGAGCATGGGAGCCCCTGCCTCAGCCACAGCCTCCACCCCACTTCTCTTAGCCACAAGATCCACCCTTTCTTCCCACAAAAACTCCCAAGAAAGCCCAAACATGGACTCTGACATGGGTAGGGCTGGGACCTCCTGGTGGCTGCTGCCTGGGTCCTGGGCTTGCCCTCAGCCTCCCTCTTCCCTCCCACCCCCCACCAGGGCTCCAGCTCAGCTCACTGGGGACACCCCCTGCACTGGCTCCGCAGCCCTCTAGTCCTGGGTCTGTGATCCTGGAGCATCCAACACCACAGCCAGCTGCCTTCTCACATGGACCCAGCAGCACAGGACAGCTCCCCTTCCCTGAAGTGACCAAGGAAGCGCACATGTGGGCCCAGAGGTGGCGGCCAGGTGTGGGGATCTGGGCAGAGGAATTACTGTCCTCGTGCCTTTTCTAAGTTGTCCGGAATGACCACATGCAGAATCATGCCTACGAGACCTCTCCCTCCGAGATGGTTGTCAGTTCCCCACTTCCTTCGCCACCGTCCTGAGGCGCTTAATCAGAACTCCCATGAGGCCTCTCACTGTGCCATGCTCGCCCTTAGGTAGCCCTTGTGACCTCTGAATTTCCCAAGACTGTCTCTACCCTTCAGTGGGAGTGACCAAGAGACCTGCCCTCAACCCACCCACCCCTGATGTGCTGCAGAGGGCACAGGGCCATGGCTGGGGGATGGGTCTCATTCCCAACAGGTGACCCTGCTCGGCTGAGAGTGGAGTAGGGGTCCTGGCTGGAGGGCAGGTCCCATTTCCAGCAGGTGACCCTGCTCAACTGAGGGTGGAGCAGGAGGCTTGGCTGGGGCCCAAGTCCCATTCCCAGCAGGTGACCCGGCCTGGCGGAGGGTTCCCTGTCAGCGGGAATCTGGGCCCCCTCACCGATGTGCCTGCGTGTGAGCTCCACGGCCGCATTCCGGTTAACATTGGAGAGCAGCCCTAGGCAGAAGCGCTCAGAGTTGGAGGGGTCAGTGAAGCCGTCCACCGTCATGGAAGGCTGTGAGGCGTGGAAGGTCTCGCCCACACGCTGGTTCAGCTCGTAGTAGGAGATGGAGCACCAGAAGGCTGGTTCACAGTAGGTGACAGGCTGCAGGTCTGTGGACATAGCAAGGTGGTCAGGGGGCTGGCCCGCTCCCCAATGGGCGCCCTGGTTGTGCTCGAAACACCCACCTCCCCCCTCGGGGTGTGTACCCCGGTGCCTTCCATGGCATCAGACATGCAGGATGCCAGAGCGGGCCCTGGGAGCCTGGGGGATGCCCTTAGCCTGGGGAACCCCGACTCTGTTCATTTTCAGCTCCTAGAAGCTCCACCCACCTGCCTGGCCTCTGCAACTGGAGCAGCCTTCAAGGAGGGGCTGAGTCAAGCCCGAAGAGACCTGGTACCAGCAACCTGCCAACCTGGGGATACTGGTGGTGTATGCTCCTATGGGGCAGGCCAAGGCCCTGCAGGCGCCTCTGGCCTCTTCCGGGGCCCCAGGAGGAGCCCACACTGGTCTCTGCCCTCACAGGCTATCCAACCTGACTATGTGTGGCCTTGGGCAGACCCTAGGGGTTGGCCGTTGCCCCCAGGAAACAAAAGCCTGTGGCCAGTCCCAGTGGTTGCCAGGGACTGCATCTCTATCACAGAACTGACTTTCCATACATATCTAGATGCCACAGTTGGGGTGGTGTAGACACAAGCTCACCTGCAGGACATGTGAGCTTGTCCCAGCATCTGGAGGGACAGCCAGGGCTCTACGGCAAAACCATCGTCCTGTGAGGAGCCTGTTCTCTCTCTGAGGCATGAGTGCAGTCACCCTCTGGGACCCAGACCCAGACTTCCCATCTCCACTTCCAGTCTCCCACCTCCTCATGCCCCGTCTTCCCCTGTGACATCTCAGGCCCATCCTCCAGCCCTTCAGCCGGACCTGAGATCCCCCGCAGGAGGCCACAGCTGCCTGACAGGACTGCCCGGTGTCCAGACCCCTTCCAGATGCTTCTCTACATTGACTGACCCCTGGGCTTGCGGCCTGCCTGAATTTCCCCATGTGTGGAATTCAGGAGCTTGCGGCCTGCCTGAATTCCCCCATGTGTGGAAGAACCAGGGGTCTCCCGTGCATCCCTGTACCTCACTGTCACCCTGGCTCTCCTTAGATGTCCCTGGAGCCCCTGTCTCTTTAGAGTGTATCTGTGTGAGTGGTACGGGGCCCCCTGACAGGGCTGCTGGATCACGAGGTCCCAGGCCGACATCCTCCTTCCTCCTCTGCTTCCACCTGCTAGGTGCTGACAGCTGTCCCCAGATGCTACCCCTACTCGCTAGGTGCCAGTGATACCCGTTCACCTCTCCCTCCCCAGTTGTGCAATGAAAGTATTCACAGAGTTCATCAGCTGACTCCTGGGGGGCAAACTTGCCCCGGTCAAAAACTGTCACCCTGGGGGTTTAGCCAGGTCCTGGAACATAAGCCCTAAAGCAGTTCTCTAGGAGGATGGGAGGTCGGTGCTGGCTCAGGTGCAAACCAGTCATGCACCCTGAGCAGACTGGCCATGTACCCCAGGCAGATGGACCACATGTCCCTCGGCAGACTGGCCATATACCCTGACCAGATCAGCTACGGGCCCTGCCACGCACACCTGGGAGGACTGGCCATGTGCCCTGACCAGACAAGCCATGCACCCTCAGCAACCGGCCAGGCATCCCAGGCAGATGGGCCATGTGCTGAGCAGACTAGCCATGCACCCTCAGCAAACCAGCCACATGTCCCTGAGCAGCCTGGCCACAGGGCCCAGTTCCAGCTTTCATATCCCAACCTTTCACACCCCTGGTCCCACCCCGACCTCCACCTCCAGAGGGGCAAAGCATCCTCCCCTTTCCTTCCTCCCAGGGTGGAGCAAGGAAGACAACATGGAGGCAGGGGGCTCAGCTGCTGGTGGGGCGGGGGGAGTGGCGGTGTAGAAGCTGGGCCTGGATCCCGGCTGCTAAGGGTGGGCTGAGCTCTGGCTTTGTCAATGCTCTGACATTCTGATGGGGTAAGATATATTCTAAACAACATGGTCATGAAAATGTGAGCTGTGTGGCTTTGGAAACTTACAAAGAAAAAGGAAAAAAATACCAAGTGCAACCCAGGCATTCCAAGTGGTCAGGCTGCTGGCCACCCTGCCCAGGCCTGGGCTCTGCTGACCTCCTTCTGAGGCCTCCTTCTGTAGCCTGTTTATGTCTGGACAACGACTGCAGTGCACAGGAGACAGCTAACACTGGCCGTCTGGGACACCGTGCCCTGGCACTGGACAGCCTGAATAGGCAGCTTTGGTGCTCAGGGCTGGCACTGGTTTAGTGTGTCAAATGGTATAGAGCCTCACCCTGAATCACAAAGCCCTGTCCAGCCCTCCCTGGGGGCAGTCCAGGTGGAAAAGAATGAGTGGGTTCCTGGAATACTGCAGCCCACCATCGAGACAAGGTTGCAGGCCACCCACAGTGTGACTCAGTGCAGAGACCTCTCTGGGGAGGCAGGGGTTTCCAGGACTCTAGAATCCAAGGCAGTCTTGGGGTCCTGTCCAGGGGCCCTCTCAGCAGCTCTGAGCCCTACCCCCACCCCACCACTTGTAGATGTAAGCTGGACAGTGCTGTGGAGAAGACTGACATGGTGCCCAATGCCACTAGGAAGATGCTGGCCTGCAGGCACCCCAGCCACATACTTCTGTGCTCAGCAGACAACTAAAAGCCAGCCCCACCTGGTCCTGCCTGACCCCACCCAGCCCCGCCCTCAGTGACCTCTCAGCTCTTCCTCAAGGATCCTGGGCAGAGGAGCTACATACCAGGAAGTGTGGCCACCACCTCCAGGTTCTGCCTTATGTGGTTCTTTTCTTATCTAGACTGTAGCAGGCCATCTTTTCTTTCCCACCACAGGACTTGTCCACACCATGGTCAGTACAAGAGGTACACAGAGTCGGGACCCTGAAAAGAAGATGGCTACATGCGGGGTAACCCTGAGGGATGGTTCCTGAAAGGGCACCAACTTGGCTCTGACCTTCCTAGCAGACAAGGCAAAAAGGGAACAACACACAACATGGCCGTGGCTGGTGGACAGGCACTGCTCACTAATTCCACAAGGGAAACAAAGCCTGTCCTGGCACTAACTTAAAAGGAAATCACTAGAGGGGAAAAAAACCCTTCCCCCATATCAGTCAGTCAGTCATCAAGTCCCCAGTCTCCAGAGTTCACCAACAGATGCAGAAGTTTTATCCAAGACCTCTCTGGGGGTAGAGTAACACACCCAGTGGAGAGTGGCATCATCTCTCCAGAAAAAGAACTCGGCACCTGGACAGGCAGGTGAGGCACAAGTCTGGGCCTCCCTCCCCAGCCCACTCCACACCTTCTGAGTCTGCAAACCCCTCCCTGAGCAGAGGTGCCGGAAGCCAGATCCCCCTCCTCCTCACCTCCCCCCATGGCATCGGGACTCTTCAGTGCCCTGGGGTGCATCATCCTGGCTGGCCCCCTGCCTGCCCCATGCGCTGACTGGCTGCAGTTTTGAGGCCTGTTCCAGACTGGCATAGATGTTCTGTTTTGTTTAAGAAAAAGAAAACAGAATAAACCCAGAAGGCAATGCTTGGATTATGGGCGGCCTATTAAAAACATGTGTGGAGACCCGAATTCTACGGAGTAAGAATAGGGAGACTGGAGGAGGAGGCTCACTTTCTATAGGAAATGAAAGCAGGACAGGCAGAGGCCAGCACCCAAGGCTGCTCACTGAAAGTCAAACACACAGGCTGGCTCCCTGGCATGCCTCAGTCAGAGGTCATGCCCTCTCCCACCCCACACCTGGAACCTGCAGTTTCCTCTGCCTGGACCGTCCTTGCCCCATCTGCCTGGACCCAGACTTCAAGGCCTGTGGAGGGAACCAGCCCCTGTGCACCCATGTCCCCCATGCTGGAGAGTTTGTCCTCTGGAGAGTGACCCAGGCCAGCTGTGTCCCCAGCGTCTGGGGACAAATTCCAGCTGATTTCTCTAAGGATTCAGGCAACACTTCTTGCTGCACATAGACCCCTGTGCCTTTTAGGTGACAGCCAGTTTACTGCCACCAAAGACAGTGGCAGTGTCTGAGAGCCAGACCTCAGGAAAGCGGCCACAGTTGGCAGCTGACTTCCTGTCACTGTGTCACCTGCCTGTGATGCCAGGGGCATGAGTGATGGGCCCAGACACAGCCTGTGCAGTGACATGGAAACCCAGGTCCAGTGGGCCACACCCCAGACCCTTCTTCTCTCCAGAACCAGTGGTTTCCTGGTGGCCTGGCTACCTTCCCACAGGACAGGCTAGCATGGTCCACCAGGACCCTTGGGACACATCCACACTTAGACACCTGTTCCCTCTCCCCCGGGCTCACCCTGGCACCTCACCTCCCACAGCCAGGGCGCCTCCCTAGAAAAATCATCTTACGGCAGAAATCAACTCTCCCTCCCCCACATGCTCCTGCCATAGCCCATCCCCCACCACCACCTGGGAATTCCCCATGACTCACCCACACACCAGGGTAACAGAAGCATCACCTGCTCAAATCCTCACCCTCAGAGGGCCTGGGCCACAATAGCCTGCCTCGGTCCTTCCACACATCCCTGCCACGACCAGAGGAGGTTCGGCCTCCCCAGACCGCAACCTTGAAGTGGAGGCATGGAAGGAGCCAGATGTCCTGTGCAATGTCCCTTGGGTACAGTAAGTTCATGATAATCTCTTTAGAGGACACTATCAGATGTCCTAAGATGTCCCCATCTCTCTAGGAAGAGCTTCCTGTGCAGTTTGGGATGCGATGGCCATAAAGAACAGCAGGCCGGGCGCGGTGGCTCACACCGGTAATCCCGGCACTTTGGGAGGCCAAGGTGGAAAGATCACTTGAGGGCAGGAGATGGAGATCAGCCTGGGCAACATAGTGAGACCTCGTCTCTACAAAAAATAAAAAAAATTAGCCAGGTGTGATGGTGCCTGTATTCCCAGCTACTCGGGAGGCCGAGGCAAGAGTATCACTTGAGCCCAGGAGGCCAAGGTTGTAGTGAGCCAAACTCAAAAAAGAAAGAAAGACAGAAAACTAACCTAAGAGTCCTCTGCCTTCAGAGCTACAGCCTGAGAAAGGGGTAGCAGGGAGGGACATTCCCGTGTCTCCAAGCTTAGAAGTCACCCTGTCACCCGAGCCTGCCCACCTCAAGGACAACTCAGCAAAGTACCCCCCGGACTATTTCCAGTCTGAACTGCAGAGCCCAGCAGCAGGCCCTGAGCTGGACTGTGACCGCCACAGTGTCAGAGCTGAGAGCCTACTCCAAAGTCTGTCCCCTAAAAGTGCTGCACTGGCTGCACTGGTTATCTCCCCCATGGCCTCAGGCAGCCTATCTTGAAGGGTTTCCACGTCATCCAGCACCCAAGCCATGAGCTTCTCTCTTGACACCACAAGCCAAAGCTGGGAAGCACGGGCGCAAGGGCCAGTCCAATCTCTAGGACCCATAGGCTTGGGAACCCACAGTTTCTTTTCCTGAGCCACAGACACAGCCTCAGTCACAGGGCCCCAAACAAAACCCGACCCACATTCCCACAACTCCAGACCTAGATATGAAAAATCCCCCTCAACAAAACCCACGCAGATCTGACATCTGCCCAAACCCTACCCTCCACGCCGAAGCCAGGAGGATACTGCAAGCAGGCCCAGGCCAGAGGATGGAAGGACAATCCTGTCCCAGGAAAGGGAATCTTGGGAAAACTGACCCAGCTACTCCACAACATCCCGAGATGACACACATGATACACGAGGTGTCTAAACTCAGAAATGTGCTTACAAATTCATGTCAAGAGAAGAAAGAGGGAAAAAAATAGACCCCTGCTCTGATCTCTGTGTGAGTCACAGTCCATACGCCTGAGCCAGACACTGGGCAACTGTGACAAGACAGTTGTGTCCGGGACTGGGGTCATGGGCATGTTTGCCGCGTTTTCAAATTCCCTCTATGCTGCGGTTGTAATAAAAATCACACGACTGAGATGAAACACGCAGAGAACAGTCACATCGGCATATCAGAAGCAAGTCTGTAGAGGTCAGGGGTCTGGAGTCCGCGTGGTTGCTCATGGTACCACACACTCAGGTTTGGCTGGCTACAGACCCTGCCTCCTGGGCATGGGGTTAGGGGCTTTTCATTCCCTCACGTCTGGCTGCGCCCCAGGGGAAATGCAAACCCCACACATGGCAGCCCTTCCTGCCACTGCTGTTCTCAGGTTGCCCCTTTCTGTGGTGACCTCAGCGTCACCGTAACCAGAAACCTGCTGGGCTGAGCAGAGCTGGTGGTGGGGTCAGGGCACAGCTGCACCCTCAGGGCCTGGTCCCTTGCCAGGCACCGACAGGTCTCAGCTGGTGGGGGGCTCCCATCACGTGGACCTGGAGACACTTACCCAGGTTGTTGTGTGCTGGGGACATCGGGTTCGGGGAGAGGTTTGGAGAACCTGCAAGGGAACACACAGATGTGAGACTTTGTGTGAGCAGGGGCCCAGGAGCCAGGTGATTGGACACCCACTGGGAATGCAGGTCTACACAGCAGGATAAGACCCTGGCCTGACCCCCACTCCACACGTGCCCACACTGGGCCCCAGTGTCTCCATCTCTGGAATGGGTGCATGGAGTGGATCTCAGGGTCTTCTGAACGTGATGGTTGCATGATCCTCACCAAGACAGAGATACTGGATTCCCACAAGAAGAGGTGGCATCTTTTTCTCTGGCTTTCAGCCCTGTCAGCCACACGCTTAGGAGCAGGGAAGCCCCTTGACCCGCCGTTTAAAGACCCCCACAGTGCAAGGCCAGCACTCCACGCAGGCTGCTCAAGGCCAGGACATCACAGTCACCACTGTCAGAGCCGCAGGGTTCAGGTACCAGGAAGACTGATGTCAGGAGCTCAGAGGCCCACTTTGAACCCTGCCACTTGGCACCTGCCTGCTGCTTCACATAAGACACCATGGCCCACAGGGAACATCTGAACCTACCCACTTACTGCTCTGCGCTCTGCCTTCCAGCACGTGGCAGTGGCCTTCACACTCAGCGGCTGCCTTTCTACACAGTGGCACCTGCCCATCCCTCCTCTGTTCCCGCACCACCAAGGTGGGAGGGTCCGTAGCCCCTCAACTGTCCTGCAGGGCCGGACTCCACCCCCAAGTTTGCCAGGCCAGCCAGGCCTAAGTCTGGCCTCGAGCATGTGCTTCCTCAAGCTATTTCCAGGATCTTTCCTGTGCCCCTAGTTTAGGGGTTGCCCCTCGGGAGCGAGGGGAGGCCACAGTGTCTGCTTTTCCTGTGGGCCCTGGTCTGAAAGGAGACGAGGACAGTGGCTGGAAAAGCAGAGCAGTTGGGTCTGGATGCGCTGGGTCATCTCTATGAGCCTGACTGACTCGTCACCTCTGAGCCTCAGTGTGCTCCTCGAGCGTAATGTGGGTGACATCACCCGTGGTATGAAGTTGTGCACACATGCTCACGACGCAACAGGTCTATTGCGCTCACATGGCCAGTGTATCCCCTGTTCTAGGGCCCATATCCGGATGCCTAGGAAGACCTGGTGACGTCTCATGTGTGTGGGTGGCCCGGGTAAGGAGGTCACCGTGGCCCTAGCTGGGACACAACTTGTCTCGGCTAGCAGGGAGCCAAGCCCACGACTTGGGGCTGGCCGCCAGGGGGCAGCTCGGAGCAGAGACCAGCTCAGATGGGACAGCCTGCCCACCGCCCACCCACAGACTGGCTGGGGTCCTCAGGACCAGGCCCCTCTTGGAGAGGTCACTGGGGCCCACAGCAGGGCCCTGCAGGCACACTTGATGGGGAGGAGGGACTGGGAAGGGGCGGAAGACAGGTGGGGGAGGAGGCTAGAGTTCCAGGACAAGACATGCCCCACACTGCCCCTCCCCATGGGCTGTGCTCCCACAGTGACCACTCCCTTCATGCAGGCAGCCCAGGAAGGGAGGAGGGTGAGGAGGAACACACCCTGCCGGGGCCCTCAGCATCTCACAGGAAGGCCTAATTCGGTCCAACTGTTTAGGTCACAGTTGCTGTTTGGGCATGTGTTCTGGGATGTGTTTGACGTGGGAGTGTCCAGTGTGGGTGTGTCAAGGGGAGTGTCCTGTGGTAGGTGTGTCCAATGTGGGTATGTTTGGGAGTGTGGGTGTGCCTAAGGTGGGTGTGTCTTGAAGTAGGTGTGTTTAAGGTCATGGGTGTGTCAGGGTGGGTATGTCGGGAGTGGGGGTGTCTAGGGTAGGGGTGTTGGGTTAGGGTGTTAGGGTGAGAGTGCT